AATCAACACAAGAGACCAATCAAGGATCCCAAATTCTTATTTGAAAATTGAACATTAGTTGTAAACAACACTTGGGTAGTGCTAAGAAAAAAGTAAAAATTTTAAACAAATGAAAAACTTGAACATTACATAAGCATCAAACAGTTAAATCCATTAAGCATTAACACACCATTTTTCCTTGATTTCAATTTTGAGGTGCACTTGAATTCTACATACATAAAAATATTTACATCATCCATATTTGTGATAAGATAAAGAAGGAATTGGTTAAAAAAATTTAGTCTCTTAAATTTTAAAATAACTTAATTAACATGTCTGAACAAAGTAAAGAATAGGTAGAATTATTAGAGTAATGAATTACCTAATCAGCATAAATAGAATTAACATTTTTAGTAGCATTAATATCCAACATTATCTCTTGACTAGGACACCTTTAAAGAAATTAAAGGAAAAAAGTTATAAAATACTAATGTTATCTAAAAAAAAAATACTTAGCACTTAAAAACCATACTAAATTAATTAAAAAAAAAACTAAACTAGATTTTAGAGTAAGAGACATTACCTTGATTGTTTTAGTAATAAGCAAATACGTTTTGTATGACCTTTATGTTTGCAGAATGAACATTTTTTTAAATTTTTTTTTGCTCTAAATCTCTTTTCATTCTTAGAGATTGGAGACGTTCTATCGTAGTCATATGAGGAGGATTAAGCAATGCTATATTATGACTCAAAAGATATGACTCATGATCTTTTGAAGCAACATCTTCATGACAATTCTTGTTTGTCAATACATCTGTGCTACTAATCTTATCATCTTCAATCCTTAATGCATCAAGCTCTTGAAGTAGTTGTTGTAAACCCCCAATAGCTACATCATAATGTTTTTGACATCTTGAAGCTTTTTGTGAAAGCTTTAAAGAATGAACTACGACACTAATAAAGAACATCATTAAAGACTTTGGAGCATTATTTTTGAGTTGCTCATCCAAGATGCTTTCGACTCCTCCTTTTTTAGCATTTCTTGTCCACCGATTTAAAATGTAATAGTTAGGTAATGAGTGCACCTTCTTCTTAATGAGAGATGTCAATTGATGCCTACAAACTCAAGCATGTGACATGAACAAGTTGTAGCTATTGATGAGCTAACAAATGTCACAATATATTCTGGTTTCTCTTTGCCAAACTCATGCGCTCTATATTTGTACATGCCATCAATTACAATGATCTTTTCAGCAACATTCAGTTGAGAATGAATCAACTCATCTTGAAATTTTCTAAACATCTTTCTTGTATACTTGTTTGAAGCTTCTTTCTCCATTGGATACAATGTCTTTAAAATTAGCTTTGAATTCATTGTTTGAAAATTTTCTTCCTTCTTTATTGTATCTTGTATCAAAGACCTTCTCATATTCAATCACAAACTTACTCATTGGTGTGCTTGAATTGACAAATCTTTAAAATACTTGTTCATACTTTCACTTATCTGAATAATAGATATTTCAGCACAAAAGCTACGTCGTGCATAAACAGGAATCCATTTTTCTCGAATAGCATAAAACTTCTTGAACTAATTATTTTTCTACAAATTGTACTTTTCAATTATCTCTACTCATTTTGATTCAAACTCATTTGGAACTAATGCATAGTGAATACATTGAACAATTCTATTCTTACAATCATCAAATTTCTGGTAAACGTGATTGAGATTCTTTGGCAATATTTTTTCAATATGCCACATGCAGTAATGATGTGTAGTATTTAGCAAAACCTTTACAATTGCATTGTTATGGCTGTATCTTGATCTGTAATAATTATTTTTGAAGGATGTCTGAACATTGCTTCCAACCAAGTATTTAATAACCAAATAAATGTTTTTATTGTCTCATCCCATAACAAAGCACAACCAAATAAAATGGATTGGTGCAGGTGATTAACTCCAGTAAAAAGAACAAATGCCATTTTATACCTGTTTGTCAGATAGGTTGGATCAAAAGCCACAACATCACCAAAATACTTACAAGCCATTTTTGACCAAGAGTCAACCCAAAAACAATTCACTAGTTGACCTTCCGCATCCATTTGTATTGCATAAAAAAATCTCGAATTCTTGGACTGATATTCTTTAAAGTAAGTATTAACTGTGCATCTCTTTTTTAAAACTATTTTTGTTTTCTATTACTCAAATAATTTTGAACATCACGTTCAGTTAAACCAACCACATCAATGCCACCCTATTAATTAGCTAAAACATACATGATTTTACTAGGACGAGTTCCTGAATCATCAAGCACATCAATCAAATTCCGTTGAGTTTTTGTCTTTTTATATGAACACATAAAAATTGAGCACTTTTTGGAGTAGTAAGCTGGTGAGTATGATCTCCTATGAATCTAGAAATTAATGATTTCTCTTTAGCTATTTCGAAAGCATAAATTATGGATTTGCATCCAACTCTTGTCTCGTCAGGTGGTGCTTGAATTCTATCTTCCCTTTCAAGATATATATTTGCACGATAACCTTCCTTCGAATAAGCAAATTCTTGTTCGATTATCACTTGAGTTTTTCGAGATTTTCATTATGTGATGCTTACAAATTCCAAGTCCTTTATGCTTTGTGTACCTAGTATAGTACTCAAAAGCCTCTTCCAATGATTGAATTCCATTCCAACAAATGGCTCTAAAAACTATTGATAATTTAATCTTTCATTTACATGCTCATCATGATTTTTTCCACTCAATTCTAATAAATTTTCACAATCATAATCTTGATCAATCCCATCAAAATTGAATTCTTCATAAGCATGAGTTGTCATTATGAACCTATAACAAAAATTTAATATTATATTTTAAGTAAAATTAAGTCCAATCTCCACTAAGAACCACAAAATTCATTCCATGTTCAAAAATTTCAATCTACACTATATAAATTCTCCAAAATTTAAAATAATAATTTCTTAAATGAACATGCTTGCATAGCACAAACAAAATTCGAAGAAACTTCAAACAAACCAATCATCATATGCTCCTAATTAAAAATGTCAACGTATTCAAATGCAATTTAATGTCTACCTTAAACTATTGGTGGAAAAACAAAGCCATTTTAAATTCCATAAACATAATCAACTCCGTAATATTTATATCAAAACAAAGCCATTTTGAATTTTCATTTTAGTTGAATTAATCTATAATTTTTATCTTTACTGGTCTTTGTAATAGCTGATAGAAATTATACTTTAAATTGGTAAGGGTTACTGAAGAAGAAAATGGATATTTTGTTTTGGAAGTCATTGGATTTCCAAATTACTTTTCGTTGACTGAATTTAGTTCATCCAAGTGAGAGGAATAAGCTAAATAACTTCAAAAAGGAAAACTCATTTTATGGAAGCAAGTAAAACTAAAGGGGTGAAAAGATGAGGCTTTAGTTGCATAGAAAATGTGTACAAATTGGACAAAAGACCTAATCGGCATTTCTTTAATGTAGAATTAAGCAAATAACAGATTATCTAGATTATCTAGCTAGTTTATGAGTTACCTTGAATGCATTGTAAACACACAAGCCACAAAATTTCTTGAATATATTAGTATAAATTATGTGTTTTTATTAGGATGACTACTAGCACACAAAATTTCATGGTTGTAAGTACAAGTTAAGTTTTTATCCTAATGGTCTTAACTGCTGATATGGGCATGCAAAGCTCCCAGAAAATAGTAGCTAAGATCTAACTAGTCTGGGCTATTAAAAAAAAAGACAACTAAATAGGCTGAATTTATGTCCCAGATGAACACAAATATAGAATCATAAAATGAATTAAATACCTTACTTTATCGCTAAGACTCAAAAGTTGACAGAAGATTGTAAGTGGTTTTAAGTAAGGATAATAAAAGTATGGGATTTATCATGTATAATTAAGTACTAGGCATGAATGTTTCATTATGGCTGATCGCAATTTCATGAATAATGAAAGAACATGCTATGAGAAAAAATCCATCTGCATTCCAACTCCATAACGATCCATATTAGTTAACAACCAAATAACACCCAACTAACAAGCAAAAAAGAATGCATATAACCTTAAATTAAATGTAGAGTTCACTTGAAAATATATAACTAAAATCAACAAGTAAAAATTACCTTCAAATCTTTGATTATACTTTTACTCTTAAAGTTGCACAATTTTATCAAACCTAAGTTTATATCATTTTGGAGAAGAAGAAAAGAAAATATTTTGAATGGCTTGGTGAAGAAGAAGAAGAA